GACCTCATTCATATTTAGAACAGACTGAATAAATTCCACAGAGCTAAAGTGATGAACTTAATTAGTAGATTATCGTTCTTTTAATTGAAAGGGCTGGTCATCAAGTCGCAGGTGGACAAACAAGGTTCTGATGCTTGGCTATCAGTGTGATGATCTGTTCATTTCAGCGAAGGGGAACATTTGTCCTGCTGTTCAATACAGACTGCACTCCATTTCTTTTAAGTCAGCTGCGTCTACCAGTTACGATGGAAACACTTTGCCTTTGAATCATCCATTTTCCCAGATGTATTCAACCCATGAGTAACTTATTAAAGATCTGCACAGACTCTATCTTAGCCAGTCTGAGTGAAAATGAAAAAAAAACAAACCCAGAAACCACCAAACCAAACCCTTGTGTTTAAACCACTGCTGTAGAAGTGCTGCATTATGTTTTCGTAATGGGAGTTTGGGAAAAGAAAAATAGTTTTCTGTACTGCTAGGACCCATTACAAATGAAGAAGATTATCTTTGACTCCTTTCAGAGGTTTGAGTCTTTCAGGGTATGATAGAGTGTCATGGTCACCATGCAGCGTTTGACAGTGACCGTTTGCAAATAATTAATGTTACCATGGCATTCCCCATATAAAGCCATGGTAAATTTGATTCTGTGCAGTGGCAACAGTGTAATGATCTTGAAGATAACTGCTGTAGAGGCAATATCTGTGAGGAATTAAAAGAGGACTTGGAGAAAATCATATTGCTTTGTAAGTTAAAAAATGTGGTCACAGCTTTACTGCAAATATAAAATCAAGATTATTTCACTTGTTTCTATTTTTCCTATTATTTATAAAGGCAATTGTTTGCTTGATTCATGCTGTGGAGGGACCTGCTAGAGAGCTGACAGTCTGTGTGATCAAACCTCTGAATTAAAAGGGGTGGAATTGCTGCTGAGCACAAGGACTAGGATCAGTCTATATTATTAATTCAGTTTTAATCTCACTTCTGGGACTGGGACTACGTATCACCTTGGTGGTGCCAAGGAGCCTGCCCAGCCCCACAGGAAACAGGGAAATTCAGAATGGACTCTGCCTTTTTTGAGAGTATCACCCTCAAGGGATGTCGTTCAGTCCTACCTTTGTTACTGTATTACCTCTGGGAGACCTCCAAGTTCACCTAACGCAGCCAGCATCTGGTGTGATGATGTCCTGCCATCCTGAGACTGTCCCTTGGTAGAAGAGGAGGAGAAGAACATTGAGCCCCACGGCCTTTTGCTTCTCCCATCAACCGTCCCTGCCCCTTCGATGAAAATGCACCTTTTCTGCAGGTCTCGGGGAAAGGATGACCTCTGATGAGGATGAAACTCACCTGAAAGGATAAGGTCTGGTGGCTGGCAGACTTGGGCAAGAAACCAAGATGGCCCTGGGGGAACATCCTGCTGCTGAGCTGGTGTCAGCCTCCTGTGCACTTGGAAAGATCACAAAGACTTTTTGCCAAAAGGACCATGAACTGACTGTGCAACTGGGGAGGTTTCCAGCTCTCTTTACACTTATGCTCCCTTTCCTTGTTTAGCAGGCACAGTTTCACAACTCTAAAAAGTGACCCTCTATATATTTAGCTGACTTAACTGTTCTTCCTCAGCCTTATTTTTCAAGCTTCTTCCATTCCTTTCCCACCCTTTCATAGCTTGTCAGTGTGTTTGTTTCAGTCCAAATTTAAGAAGTCTTGGTTGAGTCAAGCCTGGTTGTCTATTCCCTTCCTCCTTTTTTATCTTGCATTCTTTAATGTTTGTGACTCTGAATGGTGTCCATAATGGAGCAGTATCCCTTGATACAGTGTAATATGGAGCAGACACTCTCTGCTTCTTTTGGAATCAACATTATGCAGTGAATGGCATGAAAGAGGACTTGAGAGAAAATGCAGCGCTGTGGTGGCTTAAGTTTGATTTTTGATGGGTTTTTTTTTTTGATTTTTCAGTTTTCATTTTGAAGTGCTTCTGCTCAATCTGTCTCCTGTACTGTCTTCCCAGTTGGCTTTCTCCACTGTTAAAAGTGATGCTGTGTTCTTCTATTTGTACTTGTAGTTCCTGATCATTTTTGATGTCTCGTCACCACTTTTTATCAGTACATGTTAAATCTCCATTTCCTTAACTCATTCATCTCTCTGGCTTTTCGAGACGTTGCTGTGCTTTCTCTTCTCATCCTCTATTCCTTTCCCTCGGGTTATGCTCTTGCTCTGTTAAACTCACCAGTTTGGTCCCCATCCATTTTATTAATCAACATATGACAGTGGTGTCACTGGCAGTGGTCTATATCAGATTTTGCCATATAGTTTTCTTTGCTATGTTCCATAAATTGGGGCTGTAACTCACAATGGGTCCTTTTTGGGGTATAAAAAGGCAGTGAGCCACTGGTAGTGGTACTGAATTGTGGTTTCTTGTTTTGTGGTACCTGGTGCCGATCAGACTTTGTCAGCCCAGGCCCTCCTGCATCCATGTTATTGTTGCAGTGTTTTTACAGCTGTAGCATCTTGGAGCCCTTGGACCAAGACACTTATCCCCCCAGCTGATTAAAGAGTACTAATTTGCTGACACTCAATATCATGAGGAATTCATGGGTTTCCCTCCTTGACTATAGTAAGCAGGTAAACTGATGTGCTTTTAGGAGACCAGAGCCCATTCATGGAGGAGTTCCTGGTGAAGAAGCAAGTAATTTTTGAACCCATGCCAGAGTAGAGATCTGGGCATCCCATACAGGGTAGGTGAGATAGGTCCATGTTTGTCTTTCCTCCCTTGTGTGGGTGTGCAACCCAGGTCAAAATCTGGATTTTTTTAAAGAAAAGATCATCAACTATCATTTTTCATGCACTGAGCTGGGCTGACGTCAGTGAAACTCTGTCTGTTTTCTGCCAGCACTGGGTTTGACCCATTTTATTCAGTGTAGGTTGTATACCTCAGTACAAGTTATGAAGCAGTGATTCATAGTGACAGACACTTCTGCAGAGGATATCTAGATCTTTCCACTTTGCTGAGGAACCATCTTGTTCAGAGCCCAGAGTCATCTGGGAATGGCCAGCTGCAGCTGGAAGGTCCAGACTCTCTCTCCATGCACCAAAACCCCCACCACCTAACTTTTGAGCATGCTTTATCTTTGCCAGGCATTAAAGGAGGGCACAGATGATTTCCAGCATCTCATGCTATGGGGGTAACAAGCACCAAATGTTGCTGTAGCTCTTGTGTCAGAAATGAGCCATATGGTGTGAATGTGTTTAGCCTCAATTGCTCCCATGGATCTCAGTGTCAGTGAGCTCAACCCTGCATATCGGTGCTGGTTTTGCTTTTTCCTTAAACTCGGTCAGAAACTGCTGCAGAAACCCCAGCCTTGCTATGCATTGCTTTGTTCCTCTCTCTTGTGGGCATATCACTGGTGCAGAGTCTGCTATTGCTGTTGCGGTGTGTTTATTGTGACCGAGTGTTGTGCATTAATCTTGCAGCACACTGTTGTGATGAAACATCATCTGTGTTCCCCCGAGTAATGATACTCCAGGCATACCTTGTTTGCATTCTTAGGACATGAACTTTTTAGCAGTCAGAGCCCAAACTGAACACGTACATCGACAAACATCTGTTGTCCTCCAGACTGGTTGTGGCCCAGCACGGCAGAGAGCAAGCCTGAGCTCAGATGCCGGTTTCAAACCTGCACAAGCTTTGATCAAAACACTTTGTATTTTCCATCTCACTTTCCTTCCTCTGTTGAAAGAGGAAAAGCGGTAGCTATTGCTACATACCACTGCTTCTATATAAACAGCATATTTGTTGCATACTGCTGTTAAATATTAAGTAGTGTTATATATTTTATAAAGCTCTGATAAAGCACTTTGAAGAAGAAATTTAAATGATAATGATGTGCTGTTTATATTTTTCTTTTGATTTGCTCTTTTTTTTAAAATATGAAGTAGAAAACAAATATTTGATGTATGCCTGACTTTATCACTTTTTATCTCTATTTTGGTTTTCCTTCATAAGTAGCCCCTCATTTTCTGACCTAGCATTTTTGTAGAATGAAAGTGGTGTTTTTCCAAACAGTCCTTTATCCAAGTTCACACCAAAAGCAGTGTGGATTTGGACTACACCCTCTGCTCCAGACACTCCTCAGCATGAAAGAAAAGCAAACCTGTCTTTTAGCAAGATGAAACCAAGTTGGATAAACATTAGATTTGAATTGCTTGGCTCTCTCTGGAGCTGTAGATTCACATCTTGGCTAAATGACTCTTAGACCTTCTTTTATTTGAAATGGATATCAATTTACAGTTTGAAGATCTTTTGAATGAGACGTTAAAAGAATGACATCTCATGTGTCAGACACAGCCAGCAAGGATTTGCAGTGTTTTGCCATGACTACCTGGCAAGATTGCCTTGTCCCCATTGCACAGTGGTCTGATGTACATGTGGCCCTGCTTAAGCAGGGGAGTTGGACCAGATGACTTCCAGAGGTCCCTCTGAACCTCAGCCAGTCTGGGATTCTGTGACTTAGCACTTTCTGCTCCAAAAAGGCTTCCCTCTTACTGGAGCTGTGCTGTTAAGATCTTGAAGGTGTTTGGAGTGACATTATTTTCTCTTTGTTGTATTGTCAGCAAATGCATTTGATGTAAGTTCAAAGCTTACTGAAGTCACTGAAAATTTTCAGAGATCGGGGAACTGGATAACCTTGCCATGCAGAGAGAAAACTTGTGGTGAGAATGTATTGTGCATTGCTTAAACAGAGAAACAAAATCAAGTGCAAGCTGTGCTTTTTTTGCCCAGTTTTTACTGAAATGTACAACTTGTCCCATGAAAGAGAGACCAAGGGCAATCTCCATTAGCTTGCATTATCATTTTCCATTCAGCATTTCCCTTGCACATACAGGTCAAAGGATATGTGCGTGACCTAAATCCTTCAAAGACAGGGCAAAGCATTATTTTCCTAGGGACAGCAAGGTCTGTCCTCTGATTGTCCTCTGAGGGAGTTTGTTTCTCACATCCACAGAATCGACGACTGTTTCTGTGCGTCTCGGAAACTGGATGCAGTTGCCACTGAAGCGAAGTTCAAGCAAGACCTCGGTTTCCGGATGCTCAACTGTGGCCGAACGGATCTGGTTAAACAAGCCATATCCTTGCTGGGGCCAGATGGGATTAACAGCATGAGTGAACAGGTAACGGGATAGAAATTTCAAGCGGTAACTGTGAAATGTGGGAGTTTTGTCTGCTTATCACAGAAAATGAGCCCCAGCTTTCAGCTATTCATAGATAGGACCTTAATGCTTTTGCTGCATTACTTTGCATTGAGTTAAAGCACTGGCAGGTGAACATCTGCATTAAGTTGGGTCATTTCGAGTTGTATTGACTTATCAGTACTGGGGTAACTCAGCATGAGTGCTGCTGCATCCTCTGAAATCTTCTTAACATTGGACTGAGTCGAGTGGAGCCCAGAGATCCCAAGAGAGCTTAGTGTTGATCTGAATACTTAAAATTGCTTCAGTGCCATGAACAGTGGTGTGAGACGGGGCATTGTGAGGTGAACATCCTTCCACTGAACACTGCTCCAGGATCTGCATTTCCTGTGCACCACTGAACTCCTGTCAGTAAACGATTAATTGCTGTCTCTCTTTAACTGAATTCAGCCCAGTTTGAACCGACCTTGCAGATGTGAAAGTATCTCAGCACTTACCCCTCCAGTGGTCATTGTGGCCAATATCCACCAGTTGAAGAGCCTAAATTTCCCTGGAGCTTCACCTCCGTGAGGCTGGTGGTTGTGTCCAGGGACAAACCTGCCCTCTGCAGCTACCTACTGGCAGCAGTCTGCTGGACTGTGATGCTCACCGAGGTCAGGCCATGGGCACTAACATTTCCTTTCGATATAGAGTCTCCTGACTTTTTTGAGGCCCCAGATGAAAGTTCATCACTGCGTGTTCCCAGAGCTGTGGCATCCTCTTTGCCTGCCACCTCTGAGGTGGTCACTTGGGACAGGAGCTGAACTGTTCATAAACTTAGGTCTTCTGAACTGTTCCAGGAATGTGAGTTACACTTCTGTTCAGTAGCTTCAGTCTGAGCCAATATTGCAATACTGCCTGCAAAAAAACCCGAGTTTTAGACTGTTCATTCCAAGGTTCATACATTATCCTTTTTAAAATTATTATAATTTTAAGTTAATCTCAACCTGGAAACTTTTCACAGCGTATTTCCTCTGTCCTCCAGGCTGAAAACTGGGAACACTCTGGCTTGATTCATCAAAGTACCTAATCATATGTTTAACTCTGAACACATGCTTTTACATCCTATTTGGGTGAAAGTTAAGCCTGTGCTTAAATGGTTGGCTAGATCAGATGTCCCACATCTTGCAGGACAGAGTCCTAAGTGATGCAAGGCTGAAAGAAAGACAGTAATTTTGTATTTTGCCGAAAGCCAGTGCCCTTTGTGTTGATTGTACACACTGTTATCGTATTCCTGTGTGTGCTTCGAACACTAATGATGGGCTCATTAAAAATCCATTCCTCCCACGTGCAAAGAGAGGGGGGTGAGTGGGGCTGCAGCACAAGGCTGAGCTGCTGGGCAAGCCTGGGGGGACTTGCAGAGGCAAAAGCAGCAGGCACGGCACTGCAAGGGAAAGGGAAGTTAGAACAAACCTCATTAACTCTTTAAAACCCTGGTACTGCAGCATGACATTCTGGGCCTGTTTTAGTCAGTGGTAGGTCCTTTTTCAGCTTCAGCAGGGTCAAAACATCTTATGTGGTTCCCAGGCAGACCCTTGGCTCTGGGTGTTGCCACAGGATTCTTCACCATGGCTGCCCATGTGCTGTGTCTTGCAGGGGGGAGCCCTGGCACCCAGTTTTTGAATTCTTTTTCTACAGATCTACACCCCTTGTGCTGAATACTTGAATTAATTATGGGATGATGCCACTTACAGAAATTGAAAAAACAGTTGAAGGAACACGTATTTAGTTTTTAAGTGCTATCCCATCCTCATGTTTCAAGTCACAAACACAATTTTTTGTAATTCTATGGTCCTGTTTGTTTCCACAGTGTTTGTTGACTGCCAAAGGAAATGTTTTGCTATTGACTATAGCTGAAGTTATTTCAAATTCTCTTTGCAAGTAACTTCAAGTCACCCAAGAGCTCCCCTTGCCTGGGGTGAACTTTTTTTTTCTTAATAATGCTATGAGGCCCCAAGTGCCTGTTCCCTTACTCTGCATTTCCATGAGTACACTGCAGATTGGATCCTGGGAAATGCTCAGTGTGTTTCAGGGAGAATCTAAGGACCTTGCAGGGACAAACCTTAGTTTATGTTGTCTCTACAAGAGCAGCTCTTCCATACGTAAGAACCCACTACCTTTAGCCCTGCATACACACAGGAAAAGTGGGGGAATTCAGCAAAAATAGTGGTACTGGGCTTTTGCTAGGCAAAGCAGTGTCATGGATCTGTATCTGGCCAGGCAGGGTACCTCCAGTTTCTCTGAAAATCACTTCACAGCATCAGGTTAAACAGCAAACAGACTGTCATCTGACAGCACATTTACTGGGGACCTCGAGGTAGGCTAGAAATGTGCATCAGAGGTACCTGTGTGCTTCAGGAGGTTTACCTCAAAACAGCTGGTGGCTGTTGGTCAACACCCCCTGCTCTATTTAATAAGCAGCTTCTGCTATTAAAATTTACTGTAGATGTAATGATTTTTTTTGTGGTTTCATCTGGATTCATTGCCACAGCCACAGCAGTACTTACCTTAAGGGAAATGGTGATCAGCCATAGCAGGTATTTCAGGTTAATACAAATTGCACTGTGGTGATTCTGTATAGAAGGGTCACTTAATCTGCTTTTTCTCCAAGAATGGCCCTGCTTTCCTAGAGCCAGCAACTTGCAACAAAGCTGTCTGGCATTTCATTTAAAATTAAGTCCTTGTTTGCTAGAGAGTGCTATTGAAAGCCTTGACATTTCCAGCCTCTTACAGTGTCCATGTTGAAAAAGCTGTGCTCAAATCTAACCTATCTTAAAAGAGGCTTGAGATGTTTTAAAGGCTCTTTCAGTAATTAAAAGGTTAGATTTTATGACACTGTGATTGTAGAAAACTGAGTAGAATTATTGTCTTTTCAAATTACCAGTGGAAATAGTGGTTGCTTTGGTGAAAACATTTCTCTGCTGGGGCCCCAAAGACAAAAATGCTCAGTTTACTGTTTGAGGATGGAGTGAGGCTGGCAAGCCTTGTTCCACTTACCATGCTGAAGGTAACATGAAAAATACAAGCAGTCAATGCAAGTGACAACAAAAATGGAGATTTTACAGAAATGGTTGGCTTTTGCTACTCTGAGGGGCCTGTGTGTAACAGAGGTAATGGCTTTCATTAAATACATATTGTTAGTCTTGATGATATATACTTGAATAATTGTTTTAAAAAGTCAAAAAGAGTTCTGTGTTAAATTTGTCAATTCCTTTGTTTTTTAACTCCAAAAAATGAACTAGGGCATGACTCCACTGATGTATGCTTGTGTCAGGGGTGATGAGGCTATGGTGCAGATGCTGCTAGATGCTGGAGCAGATCTAAATGCTGAGGTGAGGACTTTTTGTTGGTTGTATCTTTGTTCTGTTGTTTGTTTACATCTTAAACTACCCCCTGAAACTGTAGCAGAGCGAAAATCACAAGAATTAAAAAGAAAAGAACTCTGTGTTATCCTGGATGGGACCACTTGAAATGAATAGTGAAATCAAATGGCATTAGGTTAACACTGGGATTCACTGCACAGAAACGGTCAAGTCGCCGGAGTTAACCCCCAGGGAATACTGATTTAGTTGTGTTTGCACACCGCAAATGAATACGGGCGTTAGCACAAGCACGAAGCACAGCTCTAATGATATTGGATAAGGACTCCCTGAATCTCAGCTGGGTTTAAATGAAGAGGGTAAAAGCAACACCCATCTGATAACCTGCAAAAGCTCGAGCATTTCTATGCATAGGGATGTTCCAGGTAAGCACCCCCAGCTCACAAGTGTGATGTAGGTTCCATTGTTTTGTTTTACAAAGTGCCTTGGGCTAAAAATTGTTGGATGAGGAGCTTGAAGCTTCCAGAATATTAATGTCTTTTTGATGAATGCACATCACAAACTTACACAATCTGTCCACCAAACAGATTGTGGTCCAACTCTGTGCAATGCAGGTATGTACATTTTAAAGAGCCGTTTGAAAATCCAGGAAATAATTATTTGTTAATGATTCCAGTTTCAATTTGTTGAGGTCATGAGTAAATTAAGCTGTCTGCTTCACTTATCTGTGTTCCATCTGTTCTGTTTGGACTTGAGCAAGCTGATAAATTGTAGTCACTGCTTCAGACAGACGTTTTGCACTTTTGAAAAGTCTAATTTCAAAGTAGAAATGGATGTCACCTGTAGGAGATTGATAGTCATTATTATCATGAAATCAGCTGCTGATTTCAGTTCCCCACATTCAAGCACATCACCAAGAGCTGGCAATAGCTGAATACTTGAACCCCTAATGAGCCCAAAGACTGGATGGGCTTGGAGACTGAGCTTTCCTTTAACCCTGTCTGTGACTCAGACATGAGATAGCATTATTTGGTTCCTAGGACGAGTTTTCATTAGGAGCAGTCCTCCCAATTGCTCCAGTAATCTTCCAGACTTGAATCAAATGCTAATTTGAACGGTTTTGTCTTCCTGAAACTGCTGACATCTGAGAGAACAGCTCCAATGAGGAATGTGAACCTCCCCGATTCATTACTGTAGAGTGTTTGCTCTAAAATCAAATGAAAACACTTCGGGACAAGAACTGTGAATAATTATGGCGTGCAATTATAAGATGATTTGTGCACACCACAACCAACTGTGCAAATTGGGCAATTAAGGCAAAAAAGGCAAATCAACCATGAACAAAAATAAATACTCTGTCAGGTGCCTGCATAATTTTCCCCCTTTCACTTTGCAAATATGTTTCCAAAAGTAGCCTAAAATGCTAGGCACCTCCCTTTTTGATTGCCCATCTTTAGTGAAAATGGACTCTATTTCCAGATGTGCTGAGAAGCTGCAGTTTGCTCTGTACTCAGTGGGACCTGTAGCTGCTCAGCATATTTCAACCTTTAAAAGCCTGGTCAGCCGCAGGTCTTTTGCCACAGGTCTTTGTCAGCTGGAAAGAACTCTAAACAAACAAACAAAAAAAGGAGCAAAGGAGTTAAAATGACTTCATTTTCTTTGCTGTTTTCCATGGACTGCCCCAAACAGTGGTGGGAACATGTGCTTGAGGAGGAGCTGGATGCATTCACTAAACTGTGGTCCTGCCCATCCTTACCCTCTGCTGCTCTTGCTCCACATCCTAAACCCCAAGGCTGGAGCTGCTTGATCCTCTTCCTTCTGAGCAAACCCAGACCCTAAGAAGCCCTGTGCCTTTGTTCAGAGGCCAGCACACTCCTCCTGTTGCCCTTTGAGCTCTCCTTGGCAAATCTGGGCAGTAACAGCCAGGTGCTGGTGCAGATCCGCTCCTCTGGCAAGTTATGGGATCTGCATGGGCTCTTCAGATTTTTCCCTCATCCCTGTCCTTGGGACTGAGGGCCTGCTTTTGCAAAACACTGCATGTGGTGCTTGGAAATGTGAGCTGCTAATGGAACCGAATATTTAATACCTAGTCCTGCTCCCCCATATGGATAAAAGTACTTCAGACAAGGTAGTGAAAGCATAGCTGGCTGGTGAAACAGAGAGATGGTGCATCTTTTACTCTGATTTTAGTCCTCCTCTGAAGATCAATAACAAGATCTTGAATTTTAGTGTCACACTCCATCTGAGTGTGCAGTCTCGGATTGCAAACGTTCATTAGATTTTACCATCTCTGTGAACCTCATCAATATTAATACCCCCATCTCAAAGGCAGGGAAACTGAAGCAAAGAATGGTTATTCATCTTCCCCGATGTCTACATTAGAAGCACCAGGCACTAAGGCGTAGAAAATGGAAGGAGCAATCTGAAAAATAGCATTTTGTTTTCTAAGGGTATAGTTTGCATCTCTTTTAGCTGTCACCGTCCCACACTTTTAACTCAACTCAGACAGGAGAAGGCAGTAAAAAGCAGTTCTCTTTAAACATTTCTGAAGTGCCGCTCTGCCCCATTGCTTCTCATATCTCTTTTTCCTCTGGTGAGAGAGGAGGAGCCTGGAAGGATGCCTGCAAGCTCCAGGGTAGGGCTTGTGATGTGTCCTTCACGATGACAGTGACAAAAATCGTACTGGTTTAAGTGCAAAGAAATTTGGCTGGGCCTGGAGCAGTCCCAAGGCCCAGGGCTGTTGATACATGGTCTGGAGAAGTCAGTGGGAGTGGTCCTTAGCTGTAAGTGTCCTGATCCATCCTTGCTTCCCCAGTGTGTGCTGTTGTAACCAGCTGTGGATGTTTTGCCCTTGTGCAAAAGAATCTGGTGGCCAGTGGTTTAGGTGGAGCTACAGTAGTTGGTAAAAGACTTCATTTGGTAAGAACTCAATTCAAGCTGTCAAATCAGCATGAACAGTTTTAACACTGAGAAAAATTTTGCAGGAAAAATATGAAGCCAATCATTTTATAAAGCACCTTTCCCAGGTTTTCTATTTCACTTACTCCCTCACATGCCTGACTTTCAGGCAAGTTGAATTTTGTTACATATAGCTCTTTAAAAAAATAACTTTAATTTGTTTGTAGGTTGTCAGTACTGCTCATAAATACCCATCCGTCCACCCTGAGACCCGCCATTGGACAGCTCTGACATTTGCTGTGTTGCATGGACATATTCCTGTAGTTCAGGTATTATTGTATTTCCCTACCTGCATCCCATTCTTTTTTTTTTTTTCCTCCTCTTCAGTTCTAATTACATCCATCTCAAACCAGCATCCTCTTGTCATACTCATATTGGTTACTTCTGCTTCTTCAAGAGTGTACTGATATATAATAGACTTATTATATAGTGAATATGGTGTTCAAACCTTAACCAATATGAGGCTTAAATAGGACAATTTTAAAGCAAAGTTGCACCAAAGAAAGTCTGACAACTCCTTGTGCTCCTTCCTGACCACTTGTTTTATATGTTTGTTTATTCATTCATTGCACTTTCTTACACTACAATATTGTAGCAAACACAAAACGCTGCCGTGGTTGGAGAGAGGTGGACAACAGCCCTTGTGCTGCTCCAAAGGGGGAGAAGCTCTTGCTCTCCTTACCCCGTGGAGGTGTCGTGTGGGATATGGTGGTTCTGTGCTTTGGCATCTCAAAAGTTGAAAAGATTTATTCTTCAAAATAGCTGTGGCTATGACACACTTAATGAAGCACCAAAACTGTGAAGGCCTCAAGACAGAAATGGCCAAAGGAGGGGATGGAGTGCAGGCTCCATCCTGCTCTCCTTGGCCACTTTTGTTTTCAGCATTCTTGTTTTTTATTGTGGAAGTGTCCCCGGTGGAGACCACAGCTTTTGGACTTATTGCTGCAATTGGTTCTTAAGAATTGTCTTTCTTTTGACAATGTCTTTATATAAAAGATGGAGGCGATTGAAATCTGATCCATTTTTGGATGGTGCTGGGCTTCTAGAAGACCATGAAGGAAGGATGCTTGTCGGGCTAATTTTCTTCCATCTTCAGTGCATTACTTCCTAACGTTGACCTTACCCCATTTCCCACTCAGAAACACTGGGTTACACTTTTTTGGCTCTGAAGTTGGACACTAGTGCTCCTGGTGTTCGGCAGCATAAAATGAGCGAAAAAAGGAATTAATTTGTCTCTGTGAAACAGTGGGCAGAATTTGCATGTCATGTGTCTCCATTGTATCTGGTTTCAGATAACAAGAAGCATTAGATTCTCATTTGTTCATGAACTCTGAAGATTGTGATACACCCAGTTGCTCTAAATGGTGAATTTTCTTTCTAGTTGCTGCTGGATGCTGGAGCAAAGGTAGAAGGTTCCTTGGAGCATGGGGAGGAAAATTACTCTGAAACTCCTTTACAGTTGGCAGCAGCTGCTGGTAAGGATTTTCTCCTCCCACTGTAACAGTTCTTCAGCTGGGATCTGTGGTTTAGATGAGCAGATACTGGATTTTTAAAGAAGTAAAAATGCACCTCTTGACTTGCAGGAAATTTTGAACTCGTCAGTTTGCTGTTGGAGCGAGGAGCTGACCCTATGATTGGAACAATGTACAGGAATGGCATTTCCATGAATCCACAAGGTGACATGAACTCTTTCAGTCAGGCTGCTGCACATGGACACAGGTAGAGTGGGAACAAGTCTAGTGGCATCGTTCAAGTGCTTATTTTTTGCCTGGGCATCCAGTTTGAGCAGATGGGTGAAATTTCTGCATGAACAAATTGAACATGCCACCAACTGAGCAGAGATGTAAGGCTTTCTGTTAGCATGTGAATTAAACCAGTTGGTGGTACAAGCTGCTTTTTGATATCTGATGTAAAAAAAGGAGAAGGAAGGGGACTCCTTTGGTGCGTTCAATGCAATGGTTGTTAAATGGCAGCTGATGTGACAGCAGAAAGGAATGCCAAAGACATTCCTTCTGAATTTCTTGACGTATTTCTCAGGTTTGAGTGAATTGTGTCTGTAATGCTGCAGCCTTAATTTCTGTTGAATAGAGTTTCTGCATCTGTGTTTACTGTAAAGTCCTGTGTGTCTTAATGTTGTATGTATGCCGCAAATTTAAAAAAAAAAAAAAAGGCAATGACATGAGCACCTGGCATGCATGGTCTTGCAACACTCAGGAGTTGACTGCAGTGTAATGAATTAGTATTATGATCTTCACGTTCCTACTTTTCTGATTGTAGCCATCCAGAGGAACATAGATACAGGTTAGAGACAGTACCTACCGTCTGTTTGCTTAGAGATGAGCTGCCAGTCTAACAACACGCTAGCAGCATGTCAGGGCGGGTTCACACAGCATTGCCCATCTGGAGCCTGAGAGGGATCCCTGGGACAGAGAGGACAGTTTGGTTATTGAAGTCTCACATTCAGCCAGTGTGAATGGGAGCCACATGCCTGAGGAGGACCTGGGCCTCTCCTTGGCTTGGCTGTTGGTTGTTCATGTCACGGACTGTGGCTCTTATATTCCTACCTGTATACCATTCACACACATGCCTTCCTCCTTCCCTCTCTGCCCTAAATTTGTTTGGGACAGACCATGCTGGGTTCTTGAGCAGATGCAGGGAGGACATCAGAATACAAGGGAGGTGGGCTGGGAGCCAGCCTGGTTTCTCTTTTCACAGCTGCAAAACCAAGAGAAACACTGTTGAGATTGATGAGGTTGTGCTGGTACGAACCTGAGGGCTTTGTTATTTGATGGCCCAGCTGGATTAGTGGCTTTGTAGAGTAGTCCCAACTGTGCTTGAACCTGCCCTGACTGGCCTTGTTGAATGTCTAGCTGCTCTAGCTTTTCCAGACCGCTTTGAGTGTTAATCAAGTGGTGGTGCTTTCAGTAGCTCCAGGCAGCTCCCTTCTCAGGTACCCTCCTTGGTGGAAATTCTGAGAACTTGTCCAGAAGCACCTTGGCCTTCCCTGACTGTTGAAGAAGTCTTGAGTTGTGTTTAGCTTGCAAGTCTCCGTTCCCATGAGATGCCACCACTCATGCGACATCTGTACGGTTCCTCTCACGACAGCAGTGACTTGCAGATGTGTCCCAGGCAGTGCAGGTGGGCTAGCAGGAGCTGTGCTTGCCTCGGGTCTGCTCTCAGCTGGTTCTGCCATTAGTTGGAGTAATTTCCTTGATAGGTGTCCTAACTCGCCACGTCACAACAAGTACATCCAGTGTGATGAAAGCCTAGGCACTAACTCCGCTCTCCCTTTCCTCTCCTCTCTTGCCCTCTCTCCCTCTCTCTGTCATGCTGTGATTGACAGGAACGTCTTCCGTAAACTGCTTGCTCAGCCAGAGAAGGAGAAGAGTGATATTCTGTCGCTGGAGGAGATCCTGGCTGAGGGGACGGACTTGCCCGACTCAGCAGCAGCTCCGCTCTGCGCCAGCCGCAACAGCAAGGCCAAGCTGAAAGCCCTGAAGGAGGCCATGTACCACAGCGCCGAGCACGGCTACGTGGATGTGACCATCGACATACGGAGCATAGGTCAGTCCTACTGTCCTTTCTCATCCTCACCTGGGGAGGGATCACTTTAGAAACACATCTCTCTCAGCAGGCTGTTGCTTAAACCGACCGCAGTCGCATCTTCCTCAACTCCTTTGGAAACAGAAGATGATGGGAGACCTGACAGGTTCCCAGCCCATTTCAGCTTGACAGCACAGCCTGTTCAGGGGTCACTAGGTCTTTTCTGCAGGACACAGTGGTTTCCCCCCGCAACTTTCTGTACTGCTGCATGGCAGAGCGTAGGGGAGGCTCTGGGGCAGTGTTCAGCTGCTGTGGACCACCTCCGACAGCTCCTCTTTCGCACTCTGCTGTAAAGCAGTGCACCATTAAAACAACTTTTATTTTCTGAGACTTGTGAGCCTCCAAAGGCAGGAGCAAGGAACCGACTCCTTGGTGTGCCAGCTCTTTGGTGTGCCAGCTCTTCAGTGAGGGGCTTGATCATACCAGCCTGCTGGGAAGTCACTTCTGCCTGTGGGGAGGGTGACTGGGTAGTGCAGAGGGAAATGGATCTGGATTGTGTATTTACCATCCCCATTTATCTGCATTCAGAGAGACCCATGTGCCTCTGCCTGGTGCAGTGCTCCAGCCCTGTGATCATTGTAGCGTGGGTCAGAGCGTGCCAGGTAGGCTGAGCAGGCAAAGATCTGGAGACAAACAAGAGAGTGGTGGAGGTGGTCTCCAGGCGTTTAACATTTCCTGAAGTGGAAGGAAAAAACTTTAATTGCCAAACACCAGGCTTGTGTTTCTTTCCCCTCTGTTCTGCAAGAGCAGAAACTAGGTCACGTCCAGCCTCATGCCTGCAGAGGTACATTAGCTCCATGTGCTTTCTCGCTCAGTGCATGGGAGCAGTTCCCTTTAACTTCCTGGAGAGTGGTTCTGCCATGACAATCTACTTGAAAAGGCTGATCTGTTTACCTCACCCAGTGCTGTTTAGGGAAAATACTAATGATCAGGAGAGGACATGGGGTAGCATTTAAGGCAGGTTTAGATCTGAAGACCACCAGTTTGAATCCAGGTGGGTAGTGACCAAAGTCAGGGCTTTTTGCGATTTAATGGCTCTCCAGGGCCACATTCAAACAAATAAGCCAGTGTAAATCTAGTTTCCAAAAGGCTTTTGCTACACAGAACACCACAGCAATTACCACAAATTGGCAGTCTCAGCAGAGAAGCTGAAGGCTAGATGAGCAGAGAGACCACAGTCCTCTCTTAGCATTTGGAGGAAAGCCTCTGTGCATTAGGTCTGGGATGTACTGATAACCACCAGCCTTCTTAATTAGGGATAAACAAGAATTTGATTTCTAGTGTTATTTGGCAGTTTTTGCATAAAATCTTAACATGAGTAAAGGTAAAAAAAGCAGAAGGGCACGTCCTTCCCTGAAGCTGGGAATGAGCTCTGTCCTCTGTCCGTAGGTGTTCCCTGGACGCTCCACACGTGGCTGGAGTCTTTGCGCACGTCCTTCCAGCAGCACAGGCGGCCCCTCATCCAGTGCTTGCTAAAGGAATTCAAGTCCATTCAGGAAGAAGAGTACACGGAGGAGCTTATCACGCAAGGGTTGCCTCTGATGTTTGAGATACTGAAGGCCAGCAAGGTAGGATAAATTGTGGGTTTTAAAGGAAATCAGCCTGATTCCCGTCCTGTAAGACACAAAAGCTTGCAATATTATTTTTGCACAGCTCTCCCAAAGCTTATTTAGACTGCACAGGATTATTATTATCTGTGTTGTGTATCTCGGGGTTTTTCACTGTGGAAGCATGGGTTATAAACACACAAGCTAATCACTTCTCCTGCTAGAACAGCTTAATACTGATGTTAGCAATAAGCTGGAGAGACAATAGAAGCTGTTGCATAGTGGTGAAATTAAAGTCAGAAGGGTCACTGCAGTATGGCAAGAGATGTTGATAACTAAACCAACCCAAAGAGTGACTTCATCCAGCTTGTTTTACAGGACCATACAACAAAGTTAATATTCATGTTTACTTCAGATTTCTTTAACTCTCACATGACTTTCTCTTCCCTTCATGTGGGATTTGGACTCTTAAACTTGTGGGGAGACTGGTTTCTACAAGCACAGAACAGGATAATTTTCTTAAATCTTCTGTGTGTTTGTACTTGCAGTCTCCTCAGATTTATTTTTTCAGCTGACGTTTTCTTAGCCAGACAAATCAGACTAACAAAACCATTTGAGGGAGATAGTGTTCGGTATGTAAATATAATATCAAAAGGGACGATTATGGGGCAGTCAAGGAGAGGAAAATGTTTTACCTAGTGAAGAATTTAAAACTTTTTATAACCAGTCTCTTCTCTACTGGTCCTCCTGACAGTCAGTCACCCCCAAAGAATGCCCAGTCAACTTTTCTGCTACCAGAAAATCATTTCAGTAATTAAAAGCATCAAAATCATTTGATTGCTCTTCTTTTTCCTCATGCACTACAATACATGTTGGTATGGTCTTCTCATTGTTTAAATGAAAAATAAGTAACGTTTCTCACCCAACTCTACGTGTAACAGCAAAGAGCAAATAACTTTTAGCATCTGAAGCAATACTCTAAATAATGTGGTAAGGGGAGAGGTTCTGGTATAGGCATGCAATATTAAAAGGTTACAGACTTGGTATAGCTAGTGGTGGCCTACATGGATGTATTTTTTGTGTCTTGCTGCAAAAGAGGGCTTGGACTAGAGTCCTGAGCAAATCCCAAATATTTGTTCAGCATTGTTCTGGCTTTTGCTCCCATAAGCTTTGCCTTTGCAATTAGTTCGTATTGCATGGGTATTTATGCAGAATATTTGAGATAGGTTTTAGGAAATCGTTCCAAATCCTAGGATTTGTAGATTTCTTGTTCTGAACTCACTTGGGTTAATGTATGTTCATCCAGAAACCACCAGCAAGTTACAGTTTGGTTTGAAAGTTGACATAAAACTAATCATATTGCAAACTTGACGGAGATTAAGTTTAGGGCTTGTAATCTAGGATGAAGGGTGACTTTAATTGCTTTTCTCCTGGGTGGCTGAAGCCAAGGCCAGCAATCATCATTAACATAAGTTATTTACATGGGATTATACCTTTGGTACATAATTAGCTCAGGTCTTCCAGAGTCTATTGTAGGAGACCTGGAAAGAAATAAGACTACTACCTTCTGCTTTTTGTTCACTTTAAACCTAAAATAGGGAGGGGAGAAACACCTGAAGTATCACAAAAAGCCCTACATGACAAAGAAGAAATCTGTGCTGATCTTTATTCCTACCTCTGGGCCTGGGGGAACTGCCTGTCTTCATGCATATTCACAAACACACACTCACAGAGTGTTTCATATTCTTAAAAAGAAATAATTAATCATTCTGGGACACTGTAAGGGTTTACAAATTGTCTGCAAATGTTATGAATTATTGTGGCAGTCTTGTCCAAACGGCCTCTCACAAAGCTCTTCCAGACAGAAATGAGGAAAGACTCTATGCAACCTTTTGGAAGGAATCTAAATAAATTCATTTGTAGGAGAGTGAGCCAATAAAAGTTCTCCCTGGTCACTCTGTAGAAGGCAGCTGAGGAAAGCTGAGATTTAAAGGATCTTCCGTTCCCCTCCTCTGGAAGGGCTGAGAGCAGAGATTGTTCTTTATGTATACCCACAGAATGGAAGCCTCCTCTAAGCGGTGCAGAAGGGCCATAACTGTGGTTCACATCCCTCCCTGCTGACAGTAAACTGTAAAGCTCTGCATTTTGTAGAGCTGTGGAGAGAGTAGCTTGATTTGCCCACACGGACATCCTTTTCCCTGTGGGCTGGAAACTTCGAGAGAGATTATGGGTCTTGCTAAACATCACAGTGTGGCCCAATACATTTCCTTAATGAGTTTTTCAGGGCAAAAAGTATAAAATAAGCAACTAGGAAGCAGAGAGCCACTTAGCAGTTCTTGGCTGATGTAAAACAAGATGTCCCATTTGCTACATATTGTGATGCTTGGTATATTTTAATTGCATGGCAACTTGCACCTAATAGAAGTAGCATTTTGTGTTCCTATAAATAGTTCCAGCTATCCCATAATCTCAGAACAATTTACTAATATTAATGAGTTGAGACATGGAAGATCTTATCCTCCCTTTACCAACAGGGAAACTGAGGTAATTAAACAGGCTGATTTTCAGCGCCTCACAGAGTGACAGTTCCAGGCTCAGAAGCCATGATGACCTGGATAAGCCAGACAGCAGTTTATAGTTTTGCGTAATTTGGCCAGAGAAACTCCCCCAAAATTGCATGGAAACATAGGGCAGGTCTCAGGGTAGGAAGCAAGCCTTCTGCCCCCACCTTCTACTTTGCACTGTTGCACAAAATGTTCTTGCAGGTTCTCAGGCCATGCAAAAAAGCTCAAATACTATAGATATGAAAATATTGAAGAAAAAGAAAGCAATATCTACAAGAACACTGTCAGATATGAGGAATCCTTTTGTCTTATAAATGCCTGGTTTTAGAGGGTACAGATGTGAGGGTTTATGTGGGAGCTCTGCCACAGGCCAGCACTGATGCTGGTGTCCTATAGGGTGGCAGGGTGGCATTCCATTCCCATTCCCATCTGCATGCCGGGATGCTGGCAATAGAAATAAAAATGAAATTTGCAGAAGCCCTGATGCTGTAACACAGAACAGCAACACAGATTGGCAAATCAGTCAAAAGTGGCTGAGTTGAAGTCCCCAGTTGTATTGCCTTTTGTTGAGCTGCGAAGTAAGTGGGGAAGAACAGTGTATGGGTTGCACATCAGTTATTCACTGCTGCCCCGAAGCCCCAGAGGAAGTCCTCTAAAAGCACTAACAAAGGTTTGATACCCAGTTCCCGGTGGCTTTTTCATGGAGCTCTTTCATTTCCTTTCATCCCTTTAAATGTCTTTATTGGCTGCACCATTGAGAATTGCGTGGGGAGTGGAGAAGTGGCAGTATTTCCATGCTGGCGAGGCAGAGCTGTGAGAGCAGGCAGAGAATCGCTGTGCAATCGCTCTCTCCGCAGTTCCTGCCGTCATGCAGTGAACTTGGGTCATTACCAAACTAAAGACCAGAAACAAGGTACTCTGGAGAAAGCAGCATCTGTGGAGAAGACATGGAGAGCTCGGTTTAAGGCACTTTCCTAAGAGCAAGCAAAACTCAAACCAGGAAAACTCCAACACTAAAAATGTCAGTGACGCGGTGATAGTTTTGGGACACCAGATGGGAAGGAAAGGTGCTGCCGTTTAGGGATGGATTTAATCTGTGTGGCAGACAAGGACACACACATAACCTGCTAGAAGTGGTTTGGAGAGGGCTGTGTGAGGCGAAAGCCACAGAGACACTTCTGGGAGTGAGTAGCCCCGAGATAAACTTTAGTTGCTGTGTAGAGCAGAGTCAAATCCCTCAGAGCTAAGATGACACTGGAGATCTTGTTACAGAAGAAGGATAGGAAGATGCAGCTGAATTCCTGCCTGTTGGTATCTGTGTTGTGCTCTTCATGGTCTGGGAAAACTCCCCCAAACTCCTTACTGAAAGCTCTCCTTTGCCTCCAGCGCATGTTGATGTTTGCATTGCCTGAGCTTGGCTCTGAACTGGATTGCCCTCCTGCCTCATGTCAGAGCACCATATTTGCCTGAGGAGTGGAAATGCTTGAGGGGTGGCCCCCCCAAATAGAGGCCTTTGAAAGAGCTGTGTGGAGGCTGCACCCAGATCTATGGGCTTGTAGTTCCTGAGGTGAGGCTCATAGGTCAGCTCTTCAGTTTTTGCTGGGAGATTCTCTTGAGGATAATATGCTGAACGTGCAGAAATGTTTCTTTGTCCTCTGTCTATGAAAATCCTGGAGCTGTTCAGTTTGATCTTGACATTTCCACAACCTCAAAAGAAAGACTCAAAACCACAACCTTGGAAGTTAAACACATCTGGCCTTTGGAGGAGGTTGGTTTTAGGTTTCTACTCCAGAGCTCTGCCTAAGTTTGAATTGTCATTCAAATCACCCAGCTCCATCCATGTAGATGAGCCAGCACCACTGCCAGTTGTATGAGGTTATGAGCCAGTTTCATCCTTTGCTTTTTCTCTCTACAGCAATTTACATCAGCTTGTCCTTGGCCTATATTTTTGAGACAATATGGAATTTTTAATTCCAAATAATCTCTCTTACAGCTTTTTCCCTTTCCCCCATAGAGAAGGGTAAGGTAGTTCCAGGTAAGGAGCTATTTGCCATTTCTCTGGATCCTTTGTGGACATGCATTGGTGAGGTGCATGTGTGAGTCCACATGTGCATTGAGCACATGTGCTGAAGCATTGTCTGAAGCTGCTGGAGGTGCTTCACATCAGCAAAACTTGGCTTAGGACTATGAGTATTCCTGCTAGTGTATTATCCGATTCAAAATCAGCTTGAGAAGTCATAGGAGTGATCCTTCATTGCGATACCTTTGTTGCATTCTGCAGCTTTCTCTTCATCCTTCCCATCCATTTCTGTCAGAGCCAAGATCGTTTATTTTGAAATTTAGCCCATTAGTGAAGTGTTGATCACGCTGTGCAGCCAGGCTTGTTGAAGGGTGCAGGAAACTACTTTGCAAAGATGTTTCCTCAGAATTTAAAATTCCTACAGTTTTCCATCCTCT